TCCAACGGGCAAAATTGCAGTGTTATCCACCAAAATAATCAGTAACTATAACAGATTCGTCAGCTAAGATAACGCTTCAGGCATTGCTTGATGTCACGGTGAACAGGATCCTTGACAGTTTGTCCGAAAATGGTACAAACAAGCAGTTGACTCTTCTATCATTATAAATTGGGATTTGAAGATACTTCCGGTCAGAGTCGATATAAGCAAAATATGGACGGGGGGACCAAGATGATTCCAGTATCTTTATGACCTCCTTGGTGCCTTTTAAACTGTTCGTGACGCGGACGGAGATGTTACTATAGGTCTTCATTGATCACTCTTTTGACCGTGGTTCTGATTAGGCCTATCAGAAGAGATAATTGTTTTTGTGATTACGAACAGGATTTCGTTGGATTCGCGCCTCCCTGCTTTGATGATCGCGGGCATCCTACCTGTACGAGGTCGGCCGGTCCTCTTACAATCTTCGAAGCTTGAATCTTCAGTGAATCATTTGATAGTGCGATAAACAAATCGTAGGGTTATTTTCAATTTTTGTAGAATATCGAAAATCTCTTTTGGCGCGTAACCACAGCGGTGCAACGCGATAACCGCTACTTTATCTCCTTACTTCGACCACTACATATTTGAAAATGAATGAAAATTAATGTCTTTTTTATTTCCGGCAAGCGCAAACGTTATATCTATTTTTAAAATTGATGAAGTTCATCTAGCCAGGTTTTGACAGAACTTATGACGCGACTAAGTATAACTTGGTAGGACTTCGAGATACTATAAGTTCATACTGTGTAGATCTTAACAAAAATTAATAAATTTAATCTGTGGTAACCGCGGTTAACTATGACATCTGGACGATAAACATCTCAGTACCGTGAGTGCTGTAAAGTGCTCGAAACGGCGTATACATAAAAAAATGATATACGCGATAAAATCAGTGAAAATTTGTATTGTTGAAATAGGAATAGGATCGTGTCACCGAAACAAGTCTGTGCTACTCTTTCGGTCTTCGTTCGGTTCTTGCTGTCTTTCTATCTTTTGTTTTTTCTTTATATTTTTAAACAAAACTAATGCTTGTACAATTACTTATAATGTTGATTAGTAAGCTAGAGCACCTTTTTGACAAGTAAAACACTAGACTAAATATTTATGAAATTGTCAAGAGTGCCTTAAGAGGATACCTTGAAAATGAATCGAAGTTTTGGGGGTGTGGCTTATACCTTTGTCGGTGAAGCTAACGGACGACTGAGGGAGTGTCTAAATGAAAGTGATGCAATGACTTCATAGGTTCATAGTACGCAAATTAAGATAGCCATACCGAGAAAGCGTTCGAAAAAAAAGGCATGAAATTATTCGTAAGAATATTGTGGTGTCATCGAGAAATGTAAATAATTAGAGCCTATTCTGCAATTTTTTTCTATCGATAAATTTACATGGTATCGTGTTTTCCTTTTATGCAAGGTCATATAGTCAAAAATCATATACCAAAATTTTGGTTTGTAATCTATAAAACTTAAAAAAATATGTTAAATAGAAAAACTACCAAATTTTCGAGGTATCACCTTAAATAGCTTACTATCAGAGCCATAACTCTATAATTTTGCTTGTTTGTTTCTCATTTTTTTATAGAATAAGGATGACAAACCGGGCACCTGATGATAAATGGATGCCGTGGCCCATAGACATCTACATGTATCCCAGATTAAGAATGCGTTGTCACACCAGTTTCCAGTAAAAAAAGAAAGTCCCAGTTCTCTACACTCACCATACGAAACACATCGGCTATTATGCTATTATTTTACGCTGGTGTTCTGTGTGAGCATGGTCCTACCCCGGTCGAGTCGACCAATTCGTGCTACAACCATAACTGCAGCGTGGCCCTACCACATAAATCAATCAATTAATTTTATTTCATCTTACCACTTAAAAACTTCCCGTGGAAAAAGAAAAAGCGTAAAAGAGAGCTGTGGTAGCTCAGATGGTTAACGCTCGCTGTAAATATAAAAGAACGCGAGTAACCCGGGTTCGATCCCCGCCGGCACCAATGAAATTATTAATTGCAATTTTTAGTGCGGATTCACCACGTGCTTGGTGGTGAAGGAAGTCGTCGTGAGGAAACCTGCATGTCTGAGGAATAGGAAAAAATATTTCGAAGACATGTGAAGTTCGCCAACACGCATTGGGGCAGCGCGGCGGACACTTCCTTACCCTAAAACCCTCTCAGAAATGAGAGGAGGCCTGTGCCCAGCAGTGGGACGTATATAGGCTGTAACTTTACTTCACTTAAAAAGTTAAATTTCAGTTTTGTTCTCTTACACATGACAGGATTTTTGTTCTTCTTCTTTAAGTATAGACTAAGCACCAACATCTTACTAATTCTTTGGTAAATTATTTGCTGTTTAAGCATACTAATTTGGAACTCCCTGTCTGAAGACATAAGAACAACATCTAATAAGACAGCCTTCAAAGACTGATACGTGAACATCTTTTGCAAAAATTTTGTCGTTAGTTGATATGGACAATTCCGTAATTCGGTCACATTTGTTCTATATTAAAGTAAATTTAACATCATCATCACCATTACACCCCTCCAAAAGTCCATTGCTGACAGATATCCCACAAGGCAAGCCACAAAAAGTCTTCATTCCATCTAGTGGGATGCCGGACTTCGCTTACCGGCACGAGGCTGCCACTCGATTACCATCCATTCCATCGGTTTTCAGTTATTGGACCTATATGGCCGACCATTTACAACATCAGCTTTCTTATCCATTGGACTAAATCCATTACATTGGTACTATCAGTAAGTTTTCACCCGGGAACGGCCAACGCTTCGTGTATCATAACGATCGTTCGGAAAATTCGATAGCGTAATTTAAGCAACGGTTCATTTACGCCTGCAGTATATTACCCTTTTACTCAGACTGGAGGGGTGATAGAGTATTCCAGCTGTCGTGAAAATTCTGGGCCGGGATTTGCATTGTAGTCCGTAGTGAATCGAGAAGAAGGCAAGTTAATCTGCCGGGAAGCAGAGGTAAGCAGCAAGAGTAGCGCCGAACGCTGTAGCGCAGAAAGTAGTTGGAAGTAACAGGGGAGCGTTATTACAATGCTTGTGTAAAGCTAAGGCTGACTTGCAGAAGCAGAAGACAAAGTTTGGTCGGGAGAGGTTTTTTAGGACGATGACGAAAGCTTAAAGCTGGGGTTTCTGAAGGATGTAGGTTGTTATATTCCACTACTAAACTAAATAGTAATCCATATTTATACCAACCTAAAATTTAAATTATTAAGAAGTGTTTTTATGTAAATATTAATTTTTAATAGCTCTCGCTCTGTTAAAAATAAATGAATACTTATCTACACTAAATAAAACAACCCTTTTTCACATATATTTTTACTTTTTTGTAGTAATAGATATCTTCCTAATCACATTATAATTATTTTTCGCTTACAATTCTTAATTTGGAATGATATTATGTGAAACATTTAGCTTAAAAATAAATAAAAAGACTTGACTTTTTCCTTCTTCTACACATGCAACAAATAAGGAACATGACAAAGAGTTAAGATGCATATGACTCTTTGGTTTTATTGCATTTTCTATGTTAACCGTACATCTATTTTATATGAAATATAAAAGACAACTGATTTATATTTTCAAAGCATCCATCAACTCAAATCAAATCTTATTGCCATTATATAACGTCGCAACGCTCAGACGTAATGCTTTACTTAAAACTAAGATACGTTTTTATCATTTAAATTATTATTTGTACATAAAAAATAAAACAATGCCAACAACCATGATAAACTATAATAATTAAGTTATAAATGTAATAATGGACACAAAACAATACAAATATTAATTTATCATAAAACTATCAGGCATCTTGCTAATAATGAAATGCCTGAACAAATGAACAGCACAAAATTTTCGAATTCATTTTACATATTAATAAAATAATTTTAACAATAATTATTGCGCCAATAAACAAAAATTAGAAGGAAAGTATAAAAAGGCAGACATGAAAAATGACAAGTACACGTTGAAAAACATAGTATGTTATAAATAAGTTAAAATTAAAAGAGTTAAACATATAAATTAATAAAGTAGACGATAGGAGCTCAACACAAAGAAGTATTAAGTGTAAAGTGCCTACTTTTAATTTATTGGCGCAATGAACAGGTACAAATATTCTTCACTAAAATGCATCCATTTAGATGGTGAAATAAATATACGTAGAGGCTATATTTTATTTCGAGAATAGTGAATACTTATATTAGTGAGTAGGAGTCGTTCTGTAGGTTATTTAAATTTTTATCGTTTAATAAATTTAAACATTCGAAAGCATAATAAAAAAAGAAATAGCTTACAGAACGGACGCGTTTTTAAAATCTATTTGTTTCTACGGTATAATATCATTGGCGAGCAAAACATATTCATATCACCAAAAGCTAATTCTATTCATAAAGGGCGAACTTCCATAAAATTATATCTATTTGAAATTATTCGCAGAGTCTGTATTTATCGTTCTCACATCATATTTTAATATAGATAATTCCAACATGAATGCAATATAATATAAGTACTCTAAGGGCATACGGTCCTGAGTAAGCATTGCACAAATGCTATGTAATCAACGAATCAATCAACATTTTACATATTATGCATTGATTGGATTATAGACTTTATTACTATTAATACTTTCCAGTTGGGTCCCACATTACAGATACAGTGTCACGTAAAATCCGGCAAGAATATCAAAAATCAGGTCATGTTAGAAGTCATAATATCACGTGTGTTTCAACAATTAATTCACGAATCGTTTCGCACGAACTTTCCAGCGCACGCGCGCACGCAAATACACAGACAGCACTGAACATCGCCGCACTTTACAGTTCAGAATTTCCTTTACACGTTTAGTCCTAACGTACGCGCGTACGCATCGACGCGTCATAACGCGTGCGAGTTAGTCGCGGACGTAACACAACGTGTAAAGTCTATCTCAATATTGGCGGTCGTCGTATATGTAGATGGCCTCACCGGCGGATTCCTTTAGAGGTGGAGGTGGGAAGTCGAGTTCGCCGGTTCGGAAGAGCTTGGAGGCGTTCGGCGCTGGTGAGGCGGGCGCGGGCGAGCTGCCCGGCGAGCCACCTCCGCGCCGTTTCACGCCACTCGGCGAAGCTGACGCGCGGAACGATGATCGCCTCGCCAATCTAAAGTAAAATAATTTTTTATACAATTATGATTGGGTGCGTTTTTCAAAAAAAAGCGCTAGCAAGCGCTTGTAAGCAAAATGACGATCGTAAGCGGTAAGCGCTGTCAAATCGTAAGTAGCTATTTTCCTCTAGGACACGAAGTTAGTTTTAACCGGGGAACCTAACCTAATTTAAATATATATTTGTAAAGTATTCATATTAAAAACTTACCAATCATGAATTTTTAATAACATGTATATGTCTATTCATGTCATTATATTATTTAAAACTAATATTGCACAAAACAGCTTATAAACTCTACTTCAAAACAAACAAATTAAATAAGCAAAATGGCAGATTGTGTCAGCGCTACTGAAGTTAGCAAACGTGTCCTGGCCGAAAACTGTTTAGTTTCGCCATTTTGCTTACAAAAAAGCGCTAGCAAGCGGCTAGCGCTTTTTTCTGCCAAACGCACCAATGACTTACAAATACACCGCTATGTTAAGAGGATACCTTGAAAATGAATCGAAGTTTTTGGTGCGCGGTCAAAATGAAAGTGATGCAATGACTTCATAGTACGCAAATTATGAGATAGCAATACTGAGCAAGCGCTCGGTAAAAACTAAGTAAGCGCCAAACAATATTTTTATTCATTTTAACAAAACTTCGTTATGGATTAAAAAACTGGTTTATGAGAACTTAGATGTAATTATTTACTATGCCTTAAAATAATTCCATGACATTATTCGTAAGAATATTGTGGTGTCATCAAGAAATGTAAATACATTAGAGCCTACATTGCAATTTTTCCTATCGAGAAAATTAAATGATATCGTGTTTTTCTTTTATGCAACCCAAGTACATTTAATCAAAAATCGTATACCAAAATTTTGGTTTGTAATCTATAAAACTTAAAAAAATATGTTAAATAGAAAAACAACCAAATTTTCGAGGTATCACCTTAATATGATGCTGTGGACTGTAGAAGCCATTATCTATCCTTGATTTAAATTACCGCTGAATATAATCCCTTGTTATCGAATCTCAGGTATTCTGTGATTACGCGGTCCCTTCGCCGTTGCGAGTTCACGTTGAAGCCATAATACAATAGAAATGTGGCTCTACCACATGTAAGTTTATATTTGTCTGAGTTGGTAACAGCCTTTTACCAATTTCTGCTGCTACTAATTTGTGCAATTTCTATTTTGTTCCATTCCAAAGGGTAAGAGAACCAGAATAATCACAGGTTATCTATAGGTATTTCACCTAAGCGGTGACTGTCAACCTACGGTTTTTTATGGTTAAAGTTGGTTGCAAGTGTTCATGGGCAACAGTAGTCACCTGCCATGTGATGTATAGTTGGCCCGTTTGCCAAAGAATTAAACTTTAAATAATTAAAACTAATGAAATGATTTCCGACATTTTGTTAAAGTAAAGTGGTTCATTGTTTAAGTTTTGGTCTTTTCGTTCAACAATATTCAGTGGAAAAATATACCTCGAAGCCATTTCCTCGGGTGTCTCCTCGATCTCGAGCACCCAACTGACAGAGTCGTGTTTCTCGACGACGCCCTTGACGGCGGGCAGCGGCGGCGTGTCGGGCGCGGGCGAGGCGGCGGGCGACGGCGGCGAGTCCGGCGCCGGCGACGTCGAGCGCACCGACTCGCCCGACGAGCTGCGCGTACGCATCGGCGTCCGCTCGATGTACCCGCCGCCCGCTAGCAAAGATACCACCTGCGAAGCAATTAACCAAAATTATTATTTTATCATTTACTTAAAATCGCTCACAATACCATCATCAAACCGCTCATAGCACATCGGGATTTGAGGAGCAGAAATTTTTCAAGCATTGGTTGGGATTTCTGTCTACCGTTTAAACACAAAATTATGAAAAGAAAACTAATGAAAATAATCTTTCGTTGTGATTACAAGATACAGTCAAACCTGGGTAAGTGAGAACTGGATAAGTGAAAAAACTCTATAAGTGAGAGTAATAGCCAGGACCCGCCATTTTAAGCTCCCAAAACCTCTATTAGCGAGAAACAGAAACCTCTGTAAGAGAGAGAGTCGTTTTTCCCTCATGGACCTCCGTAAGTGAGACTGCTACTTATCTATACCTCTATAAGCGACAGTCGAGCATTATTTATTTATATTATTTAGGAGGAACTGTAGCTACGATAAAAATACATACATACATATAAGATACACACATACAGTAACAAATGACAAAACAAATTACAAATTTAACATCAGCTATTTTGACTCATTCTTTAACTTTCGTGGAACTTCCTACCATTTTTTTTGTATTGTTTTCTCGTCAATACTGTACCTATTCTATTTCGTGGAACTAAATAACGTTGTTATTGCTGCGTACCTCTATAAGAGAGAAACGCTACCCATGTACCTGCATTAGCGAGAAACTCGGGTTAGTGAGAAACCTCTATAAGCGAGAATGATATTGTGCTCCCTTGAACTCTCGCTTATCTAGGTTTGACTGTATTTCAAAAAGATTTTATTTTAATACCTTCAAAAAGAAAAAGGGCATCGTCGAGCATATTTATCACAATGGCACTCACCTGTGACTTCTGGCGCAGCTTGTATCTGAGCTCCTCGTTGAGCGCGGCGAGCCTGGTAGCGTGGTCGCGGTCGCGCGCGGCCGCGTCACGCAGTCGGCGGTTGTCGTCGCGCAGGCGGTCAACGTCACGCTGGCGGGCCGCGGCGCGCTCGCGCAGCTCCTCGGCCGCGTGCCGCGCGGACCGCGCCTCGCGCTCGGCGGCCGCGCGCCGCTCGCGCTCCGCACACAGCTCCGAGCGCGCGTCACGCAGCGACGCCATCTCCGCTTGCTTCAGCTCGATCACGGCTCGCAGCGATCGCACCTACAGACCGTATTATTGTTATAGTTTTTGAAGTGAAAACTTCTTTAGCGGCGTTGGACACTTTTTCTGTAATGGGTAAAAATTGTTAAACTCGCGTCAGGACACGTGACCCTGATCGAAAATGCGTAAGACGGACGGCGTAGGAGGGGAAATATCCCCCTCTCTTTCTACTGCGCGGCGGCCTGCTATTTCGTTTAGGCGGCGCAGGGCGCTTGCGCGAATGTAATATAAATTGCCATGTTTGTGTACGATAGAATAAATAAATATTTTATTCTACCACATAAATGATAGTACTTTTATACTGATAATTAAAGCAATTCGTGCAAAATTATTCCCTAACCATTCCAAAATATCAAAAATGCACAACGTTAATATTCAAGTTTTCACTTTTGCCGGCACTCCCGGAGTGCAACCCGTCGTGTGCTCAAATTCTAATTTCGCCCCCACTTCCCCGCGCGTCGTATGCTATGTACCGACATGTTTGTAATCACTTATACTGTAAGTAGAAAGGTCGTTAGATACTTATTTCATTAGGTTTATCATATTTATGCCTGTTTCTTAACGCCAAGCCAGTCGCTTCTTATTTTTATTACGGTTATTTCCCATTTTAATTTTACGTCGTCCTGTTGCGTAATGTGTATTCTGATTGTAAGCGACACGACTTCCCCCTTCGAAAGCCGAAGCAAGACTGATGGAGACTGTTAGGGCGGCAGGAAACTATCTTCAAGACGCCGATAGTTTAGGTAATTTCTTTTTACAGTAAAAATAATGGTAATTTAAAAAAAAAACATTAGCCCTGATTTGTAGTTAGTTCAGTTAGTATGCAAAGTTTAATGATCTAATTTAAAGTATTTTGTGAATACCAGCGGTTTATATTTCAGTTTGGAGGTAACTTACACTAAGTGCCAGTAGCTTAAGTATAGTTTCCCTCAAAATGGTGACGAGCAGAGCTATGAAAAGACATGGGTGTTTACACTGAAGAATGGAGTCATAAAGCGGGGTGCAACGAAGTGGAATGGACCTGAGCCGATCATATAGTCGGCGGCGGCGGCAAAATACCTTTTTTATAGGATAACGAGCAGACAATCCACCTGATGGTAAGTGTTTGCTGCAGCCCATAGTCAACTACATCTATCTTCGATTACAAATAAAAATGCAGAAATGCGTTGTCACCCGTGAGAACTAAGATGGAATGCCTCTTTTCCAGTAAAAAAGGGTCTTCGATTCTTTACACTCGCCATACGAAACACAGCAGCATTAAGCTACTATTTCACGCCGGTATTCTGTGAGAGCGTGGTCCTTCCCCGGTCGAGCCAACCCATTCGTGCTACAACTATACTACTAATATAACTGCAGCGTGACTTTACCAAAACCTCACCCCGTGTTCACCATACAATTTGACAGAATACTTCTCTCATTCCGATTCAATCAGAGAGGAGTCGCGAATGCCTACTCACAAACTACGTAATATTCACCTCGGCCGCTAGTTCATTAGCGTCCGTGCTCAATTCCTCATTTGCGTCCAATCGAAGCTCGCACTCCTCCGCATCGCAGCACACTGGATCGCAAGCCGCATCGCACATGTCGCACAACCGCTCGAAGCGAGCGCTCGCCTCGCCTCGCTCCACCTGTGCGCGCGCTTCGCCACGCTCTAACTCAGCTCGCGTCGCTTCTAGTTGCGCGCGCAGAGCGCGCTCGATCTCGCTTTGTGCGTGAAGTCGCGCCCTGCTTTCAGCGACTTCGTGTTTTAGGGAATCGATTGTATCCTAGAAAAAAATCATAGTATCGATAAATTCTCCACTTAAATATTCTCTTATAAGCTAAACGGTCTCGTGACATGCAGTGGTAATAGAATTACGTCTGGGATAACACCAAGCCGTTATGTCACGACTATTTGTGCCGTGCCGTAAAGTAGTAATAAACTGTGCTGCAGTACTACTGTGTTGTGATTTGAAGTGTAAAAAAGTCAGTTTAATTAATGGTTGTATAAAATCCTCCATTTTATCTCCGTCGTCAAGGATAACAATGCATCCGTGCCCTTTTATGTTTGTTGTTAGTTTCTAGTGTCCGTGGACTATACTAGCCACCTAAAACTAAAAATTTCTATGGAACAAGACAGATTGACCAACTTGCGCTATTTTTTAAGTTAAAGCTTCTTTATAATCGTCGTGATTTGAAACGCGATGAAACGAAAAAGCGACACTAAAAAGAGTCAAACATATCCTTCTATAGAATTTAGCCAGTAAGAGAATGAGATAGATACAGTGTTGACCGCGAACTTTAAAAGGTTGTGGGTTCGAATCCGCCATGAGACTACTTTCTTTTTTGTTTTTTTTTTTTTTTAATATTAAATATTTTATTTCATTTAACAAATTTATTAAATAAATAAAATTAACCATATTAAATATAATTATCTTGATATATCAATGCCACCTAGCCTATTCTAGCTGGCCATCTAGCGTCTATAATAAGCGTAAAATTTTTACGTACCACCTTGAGAGTCAATCAACTTTGGTTCGATAAAATGACATTACCTATAGAAGGAAGTAGATGGCGCTACGAGGGTGGATTGAAAAGTACTCGGCCTAACCAAGAAAATAAACACATACTAAATCAGTTATATTTTTATTTTTCTACATAATCACCATCAAGTTCAATACACTTTTGCCACCTCCCCTTCCAAGCATTTAGACCGTTGAAAAAAAATGATTCTTCCTTAAAGTCAAAATATGCGTCTACAGCTGCTTTGACCTCGTCGTTTGTCGAAAATCTTTGACCTCCCAAGTGCTTTTTTAGGTTAGGGAACAGAAAGAAGTCTGATGGTGCCAGATCAGGTGAATACGGCGGATGCGGTAACAGTTCAAAGCCACAGTTGTAAATTTCAGCCATTGACTGTACTGACGTGTGAACACGGGCGTTATCTTGATGAAACAGGACTTTTCTTCTGAGCATTCCTCGACGTTTTTCTTTTATTTCCTCTCGTAAACGACGTAGTACGGTGCAGTAGCAATCAGAGTTTATAGCCTGACCCCTTTCAAGATAATCAATCATAATCACACCTTTCGAGTCCCAGAATACTGAAGCCATCACCTTATTTGCCGACAAAATCGACTTAGCCTTTTTAGGGGGTGATGAACCAGGTCTTCTCCACTGTTTTGATTGTTGTTTTGTTTCCGGTGTACAGTAATGAACCCATGTTTCGTCCATAGTAACAAAACGATTCAAAAAATCATCTGCATCGGCTTCAAATAACTCCAAACAGTCGCGTGAAATAGTCAATCGCGTCCTTTTTTGTTCAACTGAAAGCAGTCGCGGAACCCACCTCGCAGACACCTTGTGGAAACCCAACTCGTTGACAATGATGTTTTGAGTTCGTTCATAAGAGATGCCTATAATCTCGGCTATCTCTCTAATTTTTAATCTGCGGTCTCCCATTATTAAATCAAGTACTTTTTTAATATTTTCGTCAGTAGTTGACGTCGAAGGCCTTCCAGAGCGGGGGTTCATCTTTCACACTCTCTCTACCACGCTTAAATTCTGCTATCCATTTTTTGACGGCTGAATATGACAGAGCACAATCGCCTAATGTACTGACCATGTCATCATGGATGGCTTTTGATGATAGCCCCTTCTTATGGAGGTACTTAATGACGGCAAGCTGCTCGATTTGCTCCATTCGCGGAAATTATGTCCGATTACTTTGTTAATAAATTTATAAAATCACAACTAATTATCGCACACGTTTCGAACTTCACACAATGAACTAGTCTGAACTGAACTAAATAATGTGGGTAGATTTGATTTTTAGAATTGAATGGATCTGTGTTAGGCCGAGTACTTTTCAATCCACCCTCGTATTAAAAAGCAATATTTCTCGAAAGAAAATATTATTTTGCTTTATTACACTAAAACTAAATCTTTAGTGTAATAAATCAAAAGAATATTTCCTATAAAATGAAACTTTCATCTTATATTTTATGCCGCACTTGTGATTGAAAATGATTTTAATAAATTAAATAATTTGCAGTGAAGTATTTTTATTCTATATATCATTCATTTGAAGGTTTACTTTTATCGCGTGTAAACTGCACACATGTTTTTTGATTAATGAATAAAATAAAACCTACAAAAAATTATGACAAATCAAAACATTTTAAAAGTAAATTAAGATCATATTATCTGGTAAATCAATCATAAATGTAGTCATAAAAGTAAAATATAATAACATAATATTAATACATAGTTTTTATATAAGGCGATTCTCTAGAGTACATAAACCGCTAATGTACCATTCATGTGCTTAATGAATAAATTTACAAAAAAAAACCATCAGGTGGACTGTGAGCTCGTATGTCACTATACTACGTTAAAAATATATTATATGTACGGACTTCAAACTAAATTTTACTTTTTATCTGATACTAAAACGGTAACTTTTGCATTTATGTAGTCATATGTAACTATTGTTTCTCATAACCAATTTCATACTATCGCAATTCCGTTACACGCACGCGTAACTTTTCCTGTGTACCAAGCTTTTATCCTCAACACCCCTCTAGGAATATAACTTCTCAATATAACTTTCAATAGCCTCGAAAACTATTTAAATATTTCATCCTTACATCATTAACCATTTAAATATAAATTCTTACTTGAGAAATAATAATAGGGGTTCATTTCATAATTTATTTGTATAAAATATAGTGCAAATGTAAAAGTAATTTTATGTCATACTTTAAGTCCCTTAATGTCCTTTTTCAAGGCAGCCACCTCCTCCATATGGGTAGCTTGAAGACGCGAATTTGCTTCTTCTTTGGAAGATACTTCCATCTCTAGCTCTGAGATCTTGCTCAGGCATTCTGCGACTGGAACATAAATGTATATATAAAATTATACGTAAATGTTTGTTGCATACAAAATATTTTTATTTAATTAATATTTTTGTTATATATATTAAAAAATTTATTTAATTCTTATTTATACAATTATAGAACATAATAATTAATACTTATATAATATTTTATGAAGTTTGTAAAAAGTTTATTACAGATAGAGCAACCTTTATACTTTTTAACTTCCATACACTTTAATCTTTGTGTCGCTTACAAGACCTTATTGACTCTTTTCAATCATTCAGGTATACTCACCTACCAAACAAGCCGCCAAGGAGAACATTGAAGACTTCTATAACAACCTATCCGATATTACAAAGAAATATTACATCAACAACCTCGTAATCATGAGGGATTTCAATGCCCAAGATGGCTCCAGAGAAGCAGGAGAGGAATTTGTACTAGGGAAGTACTGCCATGGCAAAAGAAGTACCAATAGACATTGTTAGACATTCACTGGACGAAAGCATTGATAGATTATCTCATACCGCCTCCACACAGCATAGCAACACATCACTTTATCTTTCTTTTAAAAAAATATAGCTATGAATGTAAAACTACACATTAATAATTTAATGAATGCGGCCACACGCTTATAAGAACGACACTAGTGAACTCTAAAATCTTACGTTTGAAAAACCAAAAAAACCTACTCACGACCTAATCAAATAACCAGTCTTGTTTCTATTCAACCTGTGGTTTATATTCACCCCATTTTATTCTGTACTACAAAAGTAAACAAGAAAATAATATTTTTACTGTGAAATTAGGTACACTCTTACGGTAAATAAAAAATCAACGTATTCGTTGAATTAACTTTAGAATACAGTGTTGCCTACGTAAAGAATGAAAAACAATGAATTAATCATCTCATTCTATTTTTTAAAGACGGTTTAAGCAAAACTAAGTAAATTACAGTCAATTTACTCTGTTCTTGAAATATCGAATGATAAATCCGTATTTATTTTTCGAATGTCGCATTTGTCTGCTATCAACGACAACAAGTTAGTTGGAAATAGTTTTGGCAGTCGTCTCGTTATATTTGGGACGTCCCATATTTACAGATGGAATACATTTATCGATTTGGAACGGCTTTGTTATATTTTATCGGCAATCTCATGCGAAAATTGTTAAATAAGCTGTATTAAAGATATAGCTAGATACCGATCATCACGCCAATTTCGATCACGAGGATATGCTTTTTATGACCTAAGAATTTGGATATTATGTTAGGAGAGTGTACTAATAACGTGATAAAATACACTTGGTTTAATGTATTGCAAAACAAATATTATATATACAAATATATATACATTTAAATAAAAATTACATACCATACTAATAAAATGCATACTATCTAGTATAGGAAATTATAATACATAAACCAATAACATAATCAAGATATTTTAAATATTTTGCCTCAACCTTACGATTAAATGTATTTATTGAAGAAGCATCTTTTAAATCCCGTAGAAGGCATTAATTAACAATTGCCGGCAGGGATCGAACCCGGTTTGCTCGCGTACTATGCGTACTGTGCGTGCGCTGTTAATTGCAATTTTAAGTGCTGATTTACTACGTGTTTGCTCGGCGGTGAAGGAAAACATCGTGAGGAAACTTGCATGTCTGAGAAATAAAAAAAATTTCGAATACATATAAAATTTGCCAACACGCATTGGGGTAGCGCTGCGGACGCTTGTTTTCCCTAAAACCCTCTTAGAAATGTGGGGTGGCCTGTGCTCAGCAGTGGGACGCATAGCTATGTGGTATCAATGTAAGAGAATTCATCACTCCATCTCGTCCCGTGTGTGTAATAAGAAGCGACTATAGGAAACGCCGGAAAATTATATGGCTCCCGATAGATGGCGGTATACTATCAGGTTGGTATATTTTATTGTATCCAAACCAGTGACGGGCGGTATTGTAAATGGTACAAGACTTTTGGTACTGCAATTGCAAATGCGCCTGCCAAACCAAAACTTCTTCAATGGAAAAGCCCAAACACAGCAGTGGACTTAAAAAGAATAAATAGAGACAACAAAACATAATCGAACTAACAACATCGATTAGTATAAAAAAATAAAATGTTGCATGCGTCATGAAACAGATGTTTCTTGTGGGCGAACCATGGGCTTTCGTTTTTGCGTGTGGTTTTATTGTAGAAAACTAGATGTGCCCGTTCGCGTGGAATCAGTACTTTTGCTATCCTAAGCGATGATGATTTATTTATAAACTAAACTGTCGCGAAGGCTTACATAGACACTAATCTGAATAAAAACATTCAGTTATTCGGAAATCAGACAAACAAACAAACGAACAAATAAACGCACCCACAAACGAACCAAGAAACGAATAGGGCAAACTGTGCGCTTGTATTTTATTTTGTAATTAAACAACAAAATATTCGCAATAACGTAATCACCAATTTGCTCCCGAATTTCTCTAATCAATACTTGGTTTCCATACAACAAATAAGATAGTGCCGGAAATAAGCAAACACCATCACTAATTATTGATATTGAATAATTTTTTTAAATGAAATCTACAATCCAATGCCTACCTAAAACTAAGTACCTACACTAACAAATTAAATGAAATTGCGTAAGTATCTATATTTTGTCTCATCCTGCAAACAAATAAAAAATAAAACTAAGCTCAACCTAGAAAAGTTTTTTGACCTTTTAGTAATAGGTGTCATCGAGCTTAAAGTCAGTTGGGTTTTCTATCAAGAAATTTTCAGTATCAGCCCGGAGTCAAGAGTTTAGCAGTGTTTATCCCTATCCCTATCTCAGAAAGCACGTAAAGCCGTTTTATCTGTATCTGATCTCACTATATTTTTGTCGGATTACTAACTCGGACACAATGATATCAATAGGGGCAGATTTTGGTGAAGTTCTATGATAAGTATTAGGTACTCATAATTATCATAATTTCGTTTTACGGATTTCCCCACCACCATGCAATTAAAAACCATTTTCCGCGCAAACCATGTATCGTGGTTTTAACACTTTAAGGCGAAATATTAGAAAAATGAAAAAAAAAACTAATTGCGTTATTTTAATCCTAAAGTATTCGTACTAATGTTAAAATTCCAATAATCATTTAATAATTTTTCCCTATACCAATATAAAATCACCCCGTAAAAACATTCTTAAAACCTTATTTTACTATCTAAAGATTTTAATTTTTCTACGTTCATAGTGGTTTATGAGAACACTGAAGCCCATTTACTGGTAACGAGGCAAGTCCTCAAGGTTGAGAACGCATCTGAATTTCGATACTTAATTGGGAATAAATGTAGTGCCTATGGGCCATAGCATTCACTTCCCATCAGGTGGACTGTGTATGTATATATTATGTCACACTTACTACTTTAAAAAAATCCTAATACGTCGATTATTTTTCGTTTGTAATGACTAAGGAAAGGTTATCTACGGAGTTTCTATCATATTTGCATGCACGATCAGAGGAACCTCAATTTTAAAAGGTTAAAAAATAACATTATTTATTTTTGATATTTTTTTAAAATACATCACTTTTATGACGCTATTAATATGTTCCACGAACGATGTTTTAATATCATACACGCGTAGTTCAAATCAAGAAGTTTAATTTCATTTTATTTCGTTGTACATCATCATCATCATTACGGCCCTTAAGAAGTTCACTGCTGAACATAGGCCTCCCGCAAGGAATGCCACAACCCAAGGACCCACGGACGCCCTACACTTCCTATACAGATTAAGTTAATATACACACTGGTATCAAGATCCTTTTGCGCGCGCTGCTGTCTGTCTCGGTCCGCGCGCGCAGCGCTGCTGCGCTCTGCGGCGGCGACGCTGCGCCATCTTTCCGCCTCTAAACGCCAGGAACCGCCGTTTAGTGCGTCCAGCTGGAAAAATATCCAACAACAGTTTATTGTTGTTCACATTAAAAACTACTACAACTAAATACCTTCTAAGGAAAGCAATAAATCTTGTTCGGATTTCTTTTACCCTTTGTCTTATACGAAATGAAGATTTCAAACTAACCGTAGGACATTAGCAAAACTACAGCATACTATTTTTAGTTTATTGGATAAGTGCACAACTGTAAGTGTAAAATGTAAGGCATATAGTAGCCTCTATCTTTAGTACAACTGCATAGGCAAGTTCGTCAAACAATAAATATCATAGTGTCGTCATCGCCAGAGCGTGCTACTATGTCTACAACATAATAATGTGTAATCAGAATTTCAACAATTTCATGCTGTATATTAGTTCTTTTCGGTAGAGCCTGAAATGTATTTTTGTCAGTTTACAATGAAATGTCATAGCAAAGCGTAATAACGCAAGAAAATTTTGCGAAATTATACTCACTCTAAAAACTAAATACTGCACTAAAACTCCCAATGCTTCAACGCCTTTAGCAGCGTGCGCTAACGCTGTGGCGTGTTCGCGGGGCAGAATAGCTGGCGGAGTAGGCGGAGATACGGGAAGCGGAGCGGTGAGCGGAGCAGGTAGCGGTGCAGCCGGTGTACGGGCAGGCGGCTGCGGCGTTTGCACCCGCTTGCCTCGTGGCCCCACCGCCGCCGTAACTCGCGGCGGCTCTGCAAATAAACAGAACAATGAGTTCAATTGTTCGCAAAATACTTTGTTATCTCAATAGAACAGTGTTAATTATTCCAAGATACGTAATCGTAATATTAGCCAGCTCTAGCACGTAAAGTTGGCAAAAACATGTTCACTCTCTCTTTATATACGTTAGATCAACTTTAATAATAAAAAGTTTTGTCTTTGCTTCGTTGAATCGCTTCTATTTTATATATAATTTTTTTATAAAAATCTGCGCTCTATATATTTTTGTACCATAAAAAATGAATTAATTTATTACTTGAATATGGTTTTAATACTAACCATAACACTATAGAAAGCTAACCGTAATAACCATTTCTTACAAAACACGTATAAAGTTAGTATAAATAAAAATAGAAGTAAACGTGTTTTGGAATTGATTTTCATGGTTAACATGAGAAAAAAGTGAATATTAATATGTTTTACTATATTTGGTTTAACAATTTTTTTTTTTTTTTATTACGACAACAATACAATAAGAAGATAATACAAATACAAGATTAGAATTATGAGAATTGATTACTTTGAAGTAAAAGACAGCGTAAAAAAATACCACTGCCACTGCCTCATATGTTAGAGATTTGGCATAGTTGCCACGCTTATCAGAATAGTATTTTTTGTTATTGTGATCTGTTATCATCAACAAGAAGCTGCTTCGCATCTCCTATCTCAGTTTCCTTCTGCCTGTACCCCTTACAATAGTCACGGTTGGATTTGAGCATGAGTCGGCTTCCCGACGTCGTCGCCTCTACACGGCTGATGGAAAATAAGTTTTCTTTGTCAATTGACATTTTTAAATTGACTGAATCAATCTTTATACTTATTATCACAATTTTCATAACTTCTTAAAAAATTGACATTTTTAAACCGACTGAATCAATTTTTATACTTATGTATTATAATTTTCATAACTTCTTAAAAAGATATGCGTATAAACAAAAACTTGATTAAGCACGCATCGTTTGTTTGCAATAAAAAATTGCACAATGCAGCGGATCTATGTTCTCACGACGTGCGACCGACAATACGAGTACAATAAGAATTGTTCTGTTGTAGTAATTTTTGTACGGAACAATAAACAAATCATTGTTTCCCATTGTCCGTTATTATCTAAATGATCGTAACGGCGCAATGAGGTATCTTCAATGCGGTCTCGGCTCTAAATCAGTTCCAATTTATGAATGATGGCATGGCATCCACATTAATATATTCTACTATCGAGTTCAAATTACACGTCTTTTTTGTTCATCAATTTTAAATTTATCTGTATTAAAACTCTTACGAGTTCCCTAAGTGGATTAAAACGTTGCACATCTCAATTTAGGAATTAACGTTTTATAAAAATTAATGCCCCATTACGCTGTTACAATAATTTATTATTGTAACAGCGTAATGGGGCATTAATTTTTTATAAATGGGGCATTAATTTATATATAATTGGTCTCAGGTAAATAATTTTCAACTCATGAAGGCATGACGACATCGAAGCAAACATTTTGAAGTTTATGTTCTATTATCAAGTTCAAATTACTCGTTATTTTTGAACACTAACTTACTAAGTTATATAGTATATATCAGTTAAATGCCAGAAATTACTCCACATTATTCATAATCGTAATAATTTTCAATCAAATGACATTTTCATAGGCTCACTTTTTTAAAGAACAGTCCGCCATTGTTGACGATTCCCTTTAATGGAAGTTCAAAGTTACAGTACATTTGAGACATTCCGTTGTGCAGCGTATAAATACGTTTTGTCGTGAAGATATAGGACACTACAGCAATTCGCTAATGTCAGCGAATTGATAATAATATATTGTTTGCAGTTGTATATAGTATATATTTGTAGTAATTGTTATGACAAACCTTAAGAAGCTGTAATGAATAAATCCAGCACAAATCCGTCATGTCACAAAATTACAAACTTCTTTTGATTCTATCTGCGTTTGTAATTTACACATCTCAGTTACATTATAAATCGTTTGCAGTTCTAGATAGTATATATTTGCAGTAATTGTTGTGGAAAACCTACAGAAGCTTTTATGAAAAATTCCAGCACAGATCCGCCAAGCACTCCAATATTCTAGCACAAGCTACTTTGAACTTAATTTGCATTGTGGACAAGGTTTCTTCGTTGCGTTGTGTCCAACCATAAATCCACTTTTGGGCTTTGAATTAGGATGTTACTTGTAATGACAAGTGAAATCCTAATTCAAAGCCCACAATTTATGTACCAAGTCAAAAAAAATAAGTAAAGCTTCCATAAGTTCGTACGATACCCACTTTTTGAGGATAAATAACTATTTTTCCAATTAGACGCACATTAATTAGCCTTCAAAATAAGTATATGGTCATATATATCACTTAATAACTTACTATAAAGGCTGCTAACTTTGACGTGGTTTAAAATATCATTTCAACTCAGTGGAGTAGGAAGAATATATAGTTATATTCGTATTAGAATATATAGTATATAGTAAGAGCTATTTTTCAAATCATTTGAGATTTTTACTGGCATAATTTAAAAAGAGCTAGAGACCGTGTTTATCACCCTCTATAATTTCATTAAGGATGAAGGCTAGTTCAAGAATAATATAATATTACTTTTGAAAACTTTTTACATGAACGGAGGATTAAGTTACAAGCTCCACTGCTGGGCACGGGCCTTTTCTCATTTCTGAGAGGATTTTAATATTTTTTTTTATTTCTCAGACATGCAGTTTTCTCACAATGTTTTTCTTCACCGCTGAGCACGTGGTAAATCAGCAAGTTGTAAGTAAATTGCAATTAACAGTTTCATAAGTGCCGGCGGCGATCGAACACGGGTTGCTCGAGTACTGTGAAATTTACAGCGAGCGCTAACAATCTGAGCTACCACGGCTTTTTGATGATTAATAATTGTTAATAACGAATAACGAAAACTAAATTAAAACTATATTTATTAATGATTGTGTGAAAGTAACAAATTGTAAAAAGCATTAAGTGGGCATGGCATCACCGGTTATTTTCCTCTATTAATTCAGTACTCAACCAATGCGTATGAATAAAACAGACTTATAATTTAAAGATTAATTTATAAACTCCTTTTTTTTATAAAACTGAACTCAGTACAGTCCACCCGATTATAGGTGGCTACTGCAATTCATGGACACCTGCAGCCATATTCAAACAAAGAGACCTACAGATGCGTTGTCACATGTTTTTTTTTTTTTTTTTGTAGAATAGGGTGTCAAACGAGAACATAGTCCACTTGATAGTACGTGCTTACCTTAGCTCTTTAACTTACTGTGGTTACTTTAACTGCCTCGTCAGTCTAGTGGTTGTAGTGATGCGACTGCTGATCATGAGGTCCTGGTTTCGAATCCCGGGTCGGACCAAAAAATTAACTATTGAGTTTTTCTGTCGAGAAATTCTCAGCAGTTGCCCGGAGTCAAGAAGTTGGCGGTGTCTCACCCCCGTGCTTCGGAAAGCACGTAAAGCCGTTCGCTCCTGCGCCTGATCTCTCTCCGGTCGTGTCGGTTTACCGTGTCATCGGATTATGAGAGTGAGGGAATAGAGAGTGCACCTGTGCTTGCGCATAAACTTTGGCACTATAATCCTGTCCTGCGCCGATGGTTAGCCTCCGTTGAGGCAGGCCGCCGTGGCCGGAATTCGGTCTGGAGTACATTATTATTATTATTACTGTAGCTAATAGACATCTACATTTATCCTCGATGAAGAATCAAAATGCAGATGCGTTGTCACAGTAAAAATGGTTTTCGGATTACTACACTAACCATACGAAACACAGCAGCACTGAGCTACTATTTTACGATAAGTGAAGGTGCGGAGAGCGACACATTCGTGCTACAACTATAATATAATTGCAGCGTGGCTTTCCCACGTTAAAATATTTAAATGCCTGAACTGGAACACAGCTGTGCACGTATTGCTTGCAAAAAATCTATGTTTTAACATATCTTAATATATATAAATTACGTGGCACGTTGTTTGTCCGCGATGGACTCCTAAACTACTTGACCGATTTTAACCAAATTTGCACACCGTGTGCAGTTTGTTCCAACTTGAGAGACAGGATTTTTTTGTCCATTTTAATAGGACTTGACAAAGGGTCGTCGAAAAGGGCAGAACAACGTCTGGCAAGCTAGTATTATTTATTTTATTATTATATGTGTAACAAAAACATAAAGGATTTTTCAGAAGCGATATACTCTTAGTAAGGAAGTCCCTAAGTAATAACAAGCATTGTGGTTGTGACGTATCCAAGTGAAATCCGCTAACCGTATACGACCTTATATCAATTCATTCACGAAAACGAATGTTAAGTAAGGTTTATTCACACACTTTCAACTGTAACTAGAACAATTACTATAAAATAATGTACCAGGCTCCAAACACACGGTAGATTCTTTATTATAATTTTACTTTATTATAATTTTAATTTTACTTTTGCTGCTGCTATTTAATTTTAATTCCGATAATCTCTATTACATGATACTTGTATATAAAAATATCATAGTAAATATAAAACATACGATTAGAAGCACTCGTCTTAAGACGACACCGCGTATAAATGCACCACCTTCATCGAATAGTATAGGACTATGACACCACTACCGAAAGTGGAATTTTGATATGGGTAAATTCATGTATTTATCTTGAATTTACTTGTTCAAAAACACGATTGTATAATTTTGAATCGATCATAATTATTTGCGAAAACACCTCTAAAAATCACTATAGTTGAAATTACTTAATCTATATGCTTGGAAATCACTGAAATATATTCATAACATCAATATTCATAATTTACTTGCTTATTATTTTGATTAATTAAATCAATGTATTTTTTTTTATTTTAAGATTCTGACAATTTCTAAAATCATCGCGGGCGCTACGCAATTTTACCTTATGCCCGCGTTTTTTAAGTTTTTATAGAAATTATATATTCACTCGGATTAGTAGGGCGTTAGCC